CTCTCTCTCTCTCTCTCTCTCTCTCTCTCTCTCTCTCTCTCTCTCTCTCTCTCTCTCTCTCTCTCTCGCCCAGCCCAACCTACGACTTAGGCGTTGGTCACGCCTCGCTCCTCTAGGAGTCCACCTCCCACCTCCTCCTCCATAACTTATTCACCCTCCTTCGCCATCTTTTCCATCACGCCTCTCCCTCCTTACTCCGTCGCCCCTCCTCCTACCTCCCTACATCACTTATCGTCCTGCCTTCTTTCCTCCCTCCTCCATTCGCGCTGTCTTTCCTCCACTGCTATTCCTCCTTTCCTTCGTCATTGCCTCTCCTACCACCTCCCTCCTCATCCCTCAGTCCCTCATCGCCACCCTCCTGCCTTTGTCCTCCCACCGCCAGCCATCTCGCTTCCACCATCGCGCCATCTTTCCTCATCTCCCCTCCTCCTTCCTCCATAATTCAGAGCAAGGGGGATCGGGACGTCCTAGACCCTGCCAAACAAATTCAGACTCTGTAGACTTGGCAGGTTCTACACCTCATTTCCCAGTATGAACTGCCTTGGATTCCCTACCTTCTTCCCCCGAATACAACGTACAGTCATTATAACAATACTGGCATACTGCGATAATCACTGTACATTCTATTCGGGTGAAGACGGTAGCGCTGAAGCAAATTAACAAAGTAATATCATTCCAAACACCCCAAAACATGGGTGGGCTCTGCTGGGCCATTAACAGACACTGCTCCCCACCGTGAAAGAGGGATGCAGAAGGCCACGAGGAGGAGAGCACAAGAATTACACGGTGAGAGCTCATCGATAATTGGAGGCGGCTCTTCCCTACAGATAGAATTTATCCCATGACGAGAGAGGAAGTACTAATACAACCTTTTTTTTTCTTGGTAACCCCCTGCAGCTTGAATGAGGGGGCTGAACCTCGAACACTCTCAAAGAACGCTGGGTCTAGACCGGGAAACTGGTTAGAAAAGGGAGCCTGCCAGCTCAAACATCTTTGGGACAACAATCTGAATGCCCAGAGAGCCAAACCTGGTCGCTGGACATAATTTATCTGTTTGAGTGGGTTGCGATTAACTACAAAAATGAAGTCAAACTGTGAAAAAGTGTGTGATTGGGGTCGATTTTGTACCTTGGACCAGAGGCAACCAGCAAGCTGATCCTGCAGGGGACATATCAGTAAATAATGTCATCCGTGCTAAATCACTTTGCATCGATGCTGGTCACCTCCAACTGCTAAGGGCATACTCACACACACGGACTTTGTGGGATGTACTACAGCACAGCCAGATATGCTCATGTTGCAACCCTTATGGGATTCTGTGGGCAGGTTTCAATTTTCTCTGCAAACTTCTGATGCACAGTTCTATCCTCTTTGCTTTTGGCACGGAAGGGTGTATTTGCATTTCATGGCTGGAAAATTCATCTAAGAAAGAGCTCAGGGATGGTGTTACATGCTGCGCCTGCACACGGGCCCCATTTGAGGGGCCCGACGGTTGCTGAGGGGCCCCCAGGCCGCATGCCATCAGGCATGTGCCCTGGAGGCCCATGGCGGCCCCCAGGCCGCAGACTTCAAATATTGGCGGCAGTATTTATTTATTTATTTATTTACTTACCTGTTGTCCTATTCTTTGTCTGTGCAGACGTCGTTTCGGACTTGCAGGCCCCAAGGCAACACCTTGGGCCAGGTACAGAGGGACGAGGCCCTTCTGAAATCAGGCGCATTGTGGCGCCTGACTCAACGGTACCAGCGACGTTTCGGACTGCAGGCACCAAGCCGGCGCCTTGGGCCAGGTACACAGGAGCGAGGCCGGACCAAGGCCAGGTGCGTTTTCGTACCTTGCTGCATCAGCAACATGGTCTGGACGTCCGGTAGGGACCCAGACCGTATGGGCTGTTTGAGGCCAGCACCAGGCAGACCCAGCCTCGCCCAGCGCTATAGATAGCTGGGCAGCGGCTGGGAACAGACAGTTCGGGTAGCTCACTTCTCGAGCGACACGCTGCTGGACCAGCGCTGCATCTTAGCATTGCACTGAGGACTAGAGGTAGTGGCGTAGGTAGGAGAGGGCGGAGGCCATACCTGCGGACGGCGGACTTACCTGGCGCCATAGCTGGAACTCCGTTCGCGACCTGCACAAGACAGCAACCACGCGGCAGTCAGTGTACGGCGGCCTTCCTGCAGGTGGGACAGTAGGGAAGACGGTCTCTTCGTCTCCCCTCCATCTCCTCTCTCTCTCTCTCTCTCTCTCTCTCTCTCTCTCTCTTCCCTACTTTTTCTTCTTCTTCTTCTTCCTCCTCCTCTCTCTCTCTCTCTCTCTCTCTCTCTCTCTCTCTCNTGTGTGTGCTGCTGCTGCTGGGGCCACAAAAGTGCGAATGTATCTGGTCTATTGTCTGTGTCAGATACATTCGCACCTTTTTCCAATTTGGCCATTCTAATCTTCTGTGTAGCGTTCCAAATTCCTATCTCCTCCCTTCTCTCTCTCTCTCTCTCTCCTTCTCTCTCTCTCTCTCTCTCTCTCTCTCTCTCTCTCTCTCTCTCTCTCTCTCTCTCTCTCTCTTCCCTTCTTCTTCTTCTTCTTCTTCTTCTTCTTCTTCTTCAGATACGAGAGTGGGAGAGGTTACAGGCAGAGGTTGCGGTGGGTATTGCGCCCAGGATCTGATTCGACATTTCTGAGGCAGACATTGATTGCAAATCGGCAAGGGACTATTTTTGGACTTCCCTATTGCGATCTCGGTCTCCTCCCTCGCGTCCATTTTCTTCGTCTCCCTCCTTCCCCCCATCTCTCATCTGTGGTATCTCCCCATGCGCGTGTACAAGGAGGGACCTTTTCTTCTTGGTGTGCGGTCCCTCCTCCTCCTCTCATCCCACAGAATGTGAAGTCTTGGAAGATGAGAACTGCTCTCCCTCCCCTGCTGGGAGTCTTCTTCTTCAGGTAGCTATGGCTGCTGTCCACCAGGTAAGCTGTCTTCCTACTTCTTGTCGACCCTTCTACATCCTTCCAGTCTCCACCTCAGACCTTCCTCTGTATGGCGCCAGACAATCTCAAGTCCCCAGCACCACCTCAAGGTCTCGGACGAAGAACGTCAAGCACATGCAACCACTGGTCTTCTCTGCAGCAGCTATGGTTGTACACTACGGGTAAACACTCTCCAGGCAAGCTCCCTATTTCCCCCAAACCTTGGACACTGCCAAGGATCTCCGGCTAGGGTGCTTCAGCACCTTCTGCTGGCTATGGCTACCACTTTCTCTCTCACACCAACTATGCCAGCCTATCGCTCCCTCTGTCTGCTTTCTTCCAGCACTGGCACTTGAGCAGCGCTCCAGCCTCCAAACAGCACAAGGCAGAATGACCTCACGAACTGGGGCAGGCCCAGATTTATAGTGTTGACTCAGCTTGGCCTGACTCAGGTTGCCTCCTTGAATGGCAAAGATTTCCCGATCAGAACAGTTGAGATTTTGTCACGGCCAGTGTGTGTCTGGACCCAGTGGGTCTTAGAAAACTTCTGAACACTGCACTGGGCCGTTGGATTGTCTGTGATCTGTGGTGGTGGTCGACCCTGGAGAAATCTTTGACTCATGGGGTATTATGCCCGTGTTGGGCCTGACTGTTGGCTTTCCTGAAGTCTAGTTTTGGCTCTGGAGGCTGGGGTCCCTCATTTTTACCCCTGACCCAGTACCTATTGACCAAGGGAGTTTACGATGCCTTTTCAACGGCTGTAGATGGGACTTTTCACTCCAGAAACTTGACTATTGCCACTCTAGATTGTGTCTGTTCGAATACTCCATGCTTTGACTTTGAAGGGTCTGCATACCAAAGGTCTTTGACTGAGACACGGATTAGACCATGTTCTGTAGCAGTGAGGGCCATTCTGATGGACTGTGGGACCCTACAGACCTTTTTTTTTTTTTTTCTTTGTTTTTCAAATAAGGACAGGGCCTTATGGTCCTGGCTCCGTATCCATTCTCGGGAGCGTCAGTCCGGTTCCTTTTCCACCGGCAAATCAAGAGAATACAACAATATACACACACATGGTTTGCAGTTGATACATGAATGATCTGAACTCCTTTTCTCTTTCCTTCAAAGCTCCCGCAAATTTTCAGGGCGAATTAGGGCAAGCGGAGACCAGCCAACATGTCAGGGCTCTTCTGGTTAATGTGCAGCAACTGGGCCAAAGTAGGGAGAAGCCCAATGGAGCAGACAAGTAACGAGGATGGAACCAGGACGGACACCTACTGGCAGCAGCTGCTGAAATTATGGAAGGAAAATTTCCCTGCCAGAGTCAGAGCGCCACGTTCTCGTGAGAAGGTTCTTCGCCAGCCCCTACTCTGTAACCCGGCTATAAAGGACAGGCAGGGTAAGCCCCTCACTCTCACACAAAAGGACACAAAATGGGGCAAGTGGGTAGAACACGGAGTCTGGCAGATGAAACATCTTTGGGAAAAGGATAGGCAGCAATGGAAGACGGCCAGGGAGCTCAGAGCGGAATTGAAAGGATGCCACAGACTAACCGAAAATCTCAACGACATCCTCATATCCATACCACAGGAGTGGATAGCTATGTTGGAAAGGAATACGCAATGGGAACTAGGCGACTGGGTTACATGGAAACAAGAAGGGGAAGCTACAGAAGCATTCCACATCTGGAGTCAAGAACCAGCAAGGAAGGAGTGGTGGAATGCCGACATGTACAACATTATGAACCCAGGAAGCACCACCATCCTCTTGGACCAGGACTCCAAGACTCCGGTCACTATCCAAGCACAACAAGTACAAAAAGTAATAGTGGAGACGGAGGATTTCACGATTTTTAGCCCAACCACTCCAATAGAAGATCTAGAAAAAGCATTCCGCATCTGGAGTCAAGAACCAGCAAGGAAGGAGTGGTTGAATGCAGACATGTACAACATTATGAACCCAGGAAGTACCACCATCCTCTTGGACCAGGACTCCAAGACTCCAGTCACTATCCAAGCACAACAAGTACAAAAAGGAAGAGTGGTGGAGATGGAGGATTTCACGATTTTTAGCCCAACCACTCCAATAGATGATCTAGAAATTGACTCGGTGAAATGGGCATGGAATCTCAGAGGACGAAGGTTGCGAATTTCCAGAAGAATCAGCATACTACAGTACACTACACGAATTGGTTATCGACTAAGAAGGCGGCACCATCCACTGCAGACCGTACTCACGAAGCGGTGGGAGAACAGAGTGGGAGTCTCCCCGGGGCAATTACCAACAATACCATGGACAACGATCAATAGGATCAGACTTGGCCGGGTCAGAAGCTTGCAGTGGCTAATTGCCCATGTAGCTCTGCCAGTAAACGCTTGGCTAAACGAAAAAAGAAGTTGAAGAAGAAGGGACATGTACAACATTATGAACCCAGGAAGTACCACCATCCTCTTGGACCAGGACTCCAAGACTCCGGTCATTATCCAAGCACAACAAGTACAAAAAGTAAGAGTAGTGGAGACGGAGGATTTCACGATTTTTAGCCCAACCACTTCAATAGAAGATCTAGAAAAAGCATTCCGCATCTGGAGTCAAGAAGCAAGGCAGGAGTGGTTGAATGGTTGAATGCAGACATGTACAACATTATGAACCCAGGAAGTACCACCATCCTCTTGGACCAGGACTCCAAGATTCCGGTCACTATCCAAGCACAACAAATACAGAAAGTAAGAGTAGTGGAGACGGAGGATTTCACGATTTTTAGCCCAACCACTGCAATAGAAGATCTAGAAATTGACTCGGTGGAATGGGCGTGGAATCTCAGCGAAGGTTGAGAATTTCCAGAAGAATCAGCATACTACAGTACACTACACGAATTGGTTATCGACTGAGAAGGCGGCACCACCCTCTGCAGACCGTACTCACGAAGCGGCGGGAGAGTGGGAGTCTCCCCGGAGCAATAGGATCAGACTTGGCCGGGTCAGAAGCTTGCAGTGGCTAATTGCCCATGTAGCTCTGCCGGTAAACGCTTGGCTAAACGAAAAAAGAAGTCGAGCTAGAGGGGACTCTGTTCAGTTTGCCAGCAGGGTTCAGTGGAAACAATGGAGCATGACCTGCTGACATACCCAAAGGCAGAGAGCCTATGGGAATAGCCAGAATCCTCTGGAAACAGATGACGCAGAAGCCTTTCCCACAAGAAAAGGAGACCCTGCTTCTGGGACACAACTGCCCCAGAAATTGGCCAGCCTTCGAGAAGCAGCTATTTCAGCTCATAAGACAGTACACAGTATGGACAATTTGGAAAAGACGATGTCAGGTCACAATAAGGAAGAGGCCGATGCACGAACAGGAAGCAAGGGAGGTCCTCTTAAACCTAATGGAAACAGAGGTCTGGGCACGGTGGAAAAGAACACAGCGGCAGATGAGGCAGCAACCAGACCAAGCACAGGATCGGAAAGACAGATTCGATCGCAGAACCCTAGGAAATGGCAAAGTAGCAACTATCCGGGCCAAAGGGCTCGTTTTTTCGCGGAGACAGAGAGGATGAGAAGGCCGTAGCAAAGGGAATGAGGTGTAGCAACAGTAGGGGTTAGGGTTTAAGGCAAGGGCCAGGAAGAAAGAATGAGGCAAGGAGAAGTTAGACAGAGGAGGGCTTAGTGGCTATTCAAAGGGTAAACCGGGAGTAAGATAGAGCTTTTTTCCTTTTATTACTAATTGTTGGTTGTTAATCCAGTTTCGTTTTTTCAGGAATAGCATGTGAATAGATAGAAGGCAGGAGCACAGGAACCACCCTGCAATACTAGCCTAATCTGGGTAATGGCCCCAGTCATCCGGGTTAGGATGTGGAGGGATTCCCGGCCTCCTTGTTGCATACTCGTGAAACACAGTCATAAGTATGGCGCAGATTCCTAGAACCGACCAGATAATACAGAGTTAATACAAATACAGCGGAAGAGTTGATACCCATGGACTGACTCTGACCTGACTCAGACTGCAATCGAACACTCTCAATCATACATCAGTGGTGTGAAAGCCCTGGCCTTGGACAAAGACGAAAGGCCAGGGTCTGAGATCATCCACGGACGAATGGAGGGAGGAGAGAGACGAAGGGAGGAGGGGAGGGAAGATGACGTCAACTCAATGTTTCCAAAGATAGTATCTTGAAATGTCAGAGGTAGCGAAAATCTGAAATGTCGCGAACATAGTATCGATCTCACAATGTCAAGTACATCTCCAGAGGAAGATGAAATCAGATCCCACAAGTAGTCCTCAACCTATAGTCCTAATGTTGCTGTCTCCAATGTCATCAGAATTCGTAACCATCCTTCATACTTGTAGTAGTCCCGTAGGAGAACCCAGGAGTAGACTTAGACTGAGAAGGTAGGAGGAGAGAGAGAGAGAGAGAGAGAGAGAGAGAGAGAGANAGAGAGAGAGAGAGAGAGAGAGAGAGAGAGAGAGAGAGAGAGAGAGAGAGAGAGAGAGAGAGAGAGAGAGAGAGAGAGAGAGGGTGGTGGAGGAGGAAAAGGGAGAGAAGGCGAGGCCTTTCTCCCCGGTACCTGTCCTGGTAGCTATGGCGCTGCAGGAGGCTGGCGCTGAGCCGCGGGCTGGGCCGGTGGCTGGCGCTGTGCCAACTGCTGCGTTGATTCCCCCTTGCCGCTGTACTCGTCCTCTCCCTGCTGCTCATGCTAACGCTGCTGCGCTGCGCTAATCCTGCTAACGCTGAAACGCTGCGCTAATCCTGAAGACTAACCTCCAACCTACCAACCTCTCCGACTGAGGCTGGTACCCAGCTGATATAGTGCTGGGTCGGCCTCAGTCCTACTGAGGTCCTTCGGGTCTGGACCGTTGATCAGGCCCAACAGTTCAGATCCGATTTCGGAATCTGAAGAATGGGCCCCAAACTGCGCCGCCGGCTGGGCCTACCGATGAACCGGTACCTGGCCAAAACCAACTAGCCGTTGGGTCTGGTGGGGTCTAAACGAGGCCTACCGGACCCTAAACTGAACCGACGGGTCCTAGGCCTACCTGGACCTAAACTGGGCCCGTCGTGACCCGGTAACTAGGCCTGAACCGTGCCTGCTACAGAACCGGGCCCTAACTGGGGCCCGTGTGGTATCAGTATGCCACACACTACCCCCCTTGAAGACCGAGCTAACTGCGAGGCCGAAGCTGTTTGTCCGATGTCCGTACGGGGCGGGCAGGTTGGGCAGCTTCCTTAGCAAGTCGTTGTTTTTCGTAATGCGCGAAGATGACGGGTGTTGTCGCCTTCAGGTCAGCTCGTGAAATCCAGCGTGTGTCGTCAGGATCGTATTGCTTGAATGTAACTTTGTACTGCATTGGCTTGTTGCCATGCTTGCAATGCGTGAGAACGCGGTCGACCTCCTGGTGACCATCCATTGAAGGAGGGTCGTGTGACCGTCTGCCCAGGAAGTCCGCTGAGGAGGCTGGAGTGTAGACCGCCAACTTTGAAGCGTGAAATATCGGGTGGACAGTCAAATGCGGGGGAATCTGGATTATGAAAGATGGACCCGTGGGGTCGTCGCGAGCTGCTGAAGTGACCTTCCATGGCCCAAACCACTTAGGGAGGAGCTTGTGCGAGACGTGCTGCTCGAGCGCGAATTCCTTGGAGGTGACCCAAACCAGGTTGCCAGCGCGGATTGGACATGGGATGCGACGCCAGTTCGCTTGCTGCTGCATACGGACCTGAGCCTTTTGCATATTTGCGCGGGCTTTGGCCAACAGGTCCCTGTACTTCCGTGTAGAAGCGGGGAGCAAGCGGCGTCGATATTGGCAGCCCGTGGAAGCAAAATGTCTGCGAAGATACGTCCTTTCCGTCCACCGTGATGCAACTTGAATGGAGTCACGCCAATCGCCGGGTGCACCGAAGTGTTGTAGGCGAACTCGATGTCGGGAAGGCGGTCAATCCAGTCCTTCTGATCCGGGCTAATGAGTGTGCGGAGCATCATCTGCGCAGTCTGGTGCGCACGTTCCATTTGCCCATCCGTTTGAGGATGCCGTGCGGAACTCAGTTTCATGCTGGTGCCGGATTCCACCATGAGTGCCGTCCAAAAGGCTGACATGAAACGAGTGTCACGGTCGCTGACGATGTCTTCCGGAATGCCGTGGCTGCAAAACCAGCCGGTATGCAAAAGTCGTGCGAGCTCGGGAGCCGTCGCATGATACTTGCATGGAAGAAATCGAGCGTACTTGCTCAAATGGTCAACGACCGTGAGAATACCATCATGGCCGAAGGCCTGGTTCCCGAGGAATCGGCAATGATTTCAGTTCGCCGTACGGGAGCTGATGGCGCCCTTAATTCCGGTGGCAAACTGCACATGACTGAATGTACCGATTGACGTCGTTGATGATGTCCGGCCAGTGAAATCGCTGGCGGAGTCGTGCTAGTGTGCGTGCGACGCCAAGGTGTCCCACCAGCCACGAATCGTGGTATTCGCCAAGGAGGCGAGTGCGCAAGATGCGGTCTTGGGGAACACACAACAAGTCCTTGCCTCGTGTATGGAGAAGCAAGTAGCCGTCGACAATGCGATAATTGCTTGCCGGCGGGTGATCCGATGATAAGTCCGTATAGAGTGTGGAGAATTCCGGATCTTACTTGTACCCGTTTACAAAATGCTGTTGCAGGTCCTCGTCGAGGCTAAATGTGGAGTGCACCAAGGCGCAAAGATCGGGTCTTCGCGAGAGAGCATCCGCTGCCTTGTTCGAGGAGCCCGAAATATGCTTGGAGGTGAAGTCGAACTGGTCGATGAAGTACATCCAGCGACCGATCGTGCTGCTCACCGTGTCTTGCGTCTTGTAATAAGTCAACGGATTGTTGTCCGTTGCCCACGTGAATTGCCGACCCCCGAGGAGAAAGTGACGCCAACGCTCAAGTACCGTGACAAAAGCTAGCAGCTCCTTCCTCGCATCATCAAGTGAATTGATGGGCGACACCTTTTGGCTGAAGTACTCGATCGGATGCCAGTCTGTGCCGTCATGCTGTTCCAAAACCGCGCCAATGTCGCAGCCGGAAGCGTCCATAGTCAAATGTCGGATCATAGGTGCTTAAGACGGGAGCTTGAAGCAGAGCCGTCTTCAGCGTATGAAACGCATGCCGGGCTTCGTCCTTGAATTCGAAGGGCACCAAGGGGGACTGAAGTCGCAACAATGGTGCCGCGATCCGTTGGAAACCTTTGACGAAGCGCATGTAGTAAGATGCTAAGCCGAGAAAGGAGCGGACGTCAGTGGTACACTTGAGGTCCGGCCAATCTTGAATGGCTTGTACTTTGTCCACGAGCGGACGAATGCCTTGCGACGTAATGTAATGGCCCAAATACTCCAGCTCTTGCTAGGCAAACTCGCATTTGTCGCAGTTCGCCTTGTACTTGGCCATACGGAGCCGCTCCAAAACGGCGCGAAGGTGCTCAAGGTGCTCGTCCAACGACCGACTATAAACCAAGATATCATCGAGGTAAATGAGTACGGTGCGGTCGAGCAAGTCGCGGAATTCCATCGTCATAGCCGCTTGGAAAGTAGTCGGGGCATTGGTGAGACCGAAAGGCATTACGATCCACTCAAAGTGCCCATACCGCGTCTTGAATGCAGTTTTGTACCGATCTCTTGGCTGGATCTCGATTTGGTGGTATCCGGACTTGAGGTCAAGCTTCGAGAAGTACTTGGCGCCGCCAAGTCGCTCGAGAAGATCATCGATCCGAGGGAGAGGGCCGACGTTCTTAATCGTTTGCGCGTTAAGTTTCCGATAGTCAATACACAAACGAAGGTCCTTGTTCTTCTTCCGGACGAAGAGAACGGGAGCACCGTATGGCGAACAGCTAGGGCGAATCCAACCCTTGGCCAAGAGGTCGTCTAATTGTGCCCAAAGCACTTGAAGCTCCTCTTCGCTCATGCGATAAATACATCCGCGCGGAGGTACCGCCGTCCTCGAGAGTGATCCCGTGGCGTATGGGCCGACCCGATACTACTCCGGCGGGAGCTTGGAAGACATCCTCATAGCTGTCCAAAAGCTCAATGATACGTGGGTCCGATGTGTCCATCTTGGGCTGATCACCGGGTGGGAGGGCGTGAAGAAAACATATGCCCATCTCCTCGATGTCGTTCTGCCGGATGGATTGGCGAATGCTCGCCGCGGAGACCACGTGACAACCAATTGAAAGATGAGGAAGTGGCACCGTACACGAGACTAATTCGCCACGCCGATCACGAACGTGAACGGTGTGTCGATAGAAGTTCACCGGATGGTCTTCGCTTTGCAGCCATGACATGCCTAAGATCATATCGAACTTAGTGTCCAATATGTCGAATGACACGGCCTCACATGCTAGTGGGGCGAAGTACACGGGCACGGAGTCAACGCAACGGTCGACTGACTTTTGCGTATGACCATCGGCCAACGTGACATGCGTAGGCTGACTTTTCCTTCGAACGGGCCGGGCGTGCCATGAAGTCTTGGCTGATGTAGTTGCGAATCGCTCCACAATCGATCAAGGCATTGCAGGTCGCCTTTCTGATCTGAATGCGGATGTAGAGGAGCGGCGCGTCGATGTCGACGTACCGTTGCGTTGCATGCTTGTGGTCGATCTTCGCTACATAGTTACGAAGATCAACAACCGCTACTCCACCGTCCGTCGATGGAGGTGGTACTGCAGCGTGCAAGTATTTGCGCAAATGTGCCATCAAGGAGTTGCAATGCGGTGTTGACAAGGAACCGGTGGAGGGAAGAGGCAACCATTGGAAGTCCTCCACCGTCAACCGGTCGAGTTCCTCAAGACTCGCCCAAGTTGACGGATCCTCCGATAGAAGGGCTGGCGAAGCAACCGGTTCGTTGTCCGACGGCGGAACTACCGCGCATGCGCTTGAATCTTGCACGTGGAGAGGTTGGTGCAATGGTGGTACCAGCTCGACAGTATAGTTCTCAAAATCAATACGAGAACTTGCCACTACCGCGGTGTCCCCGGACGTGAGAGAGACTGCTAGCAAGGCAGCCGAGTCCGGCGAACTGGGAAGTGATGTCGCTGCACTTCCCGCGGTGCTCAGTTTCCCGAGCCCGGACGCTTGACATTTTCCTTGTCCTTGTCAAGGCATGCGCTTGTGATGTGTTTGGTGCTGTTGCACCATAAACACCATCCCCATTTCTGCCTCGACTTGAACATGTTTTCGGTAATACCGAACTTCGTCCATGGTGACTGTCGTGCTACATCCGCCGACGCCGGTTTCGCCTTATGTTTTCCCCCTCGGGGTTTTGAGCGTTGCGGTGGTATTGCTGCCGCCACATCTCTGTCACTTGATGTAGATGCGGCTGCGTGGTCCTCACTTGATCCTTGCTGGATCACTGCTACTTGCGGCGTCCGCTGACCTTTGCCTTTCTCCACGTAACCGGGCTGTTGGCGGGTCTCATCGGCCGCCCGCCGGTTACCTTGGATGAGTTCCCTAGCCTTTGAGATCATCTAATTAAAGGTCTAATACTGAAACTCGCTGCCCAGAGCAGCTGTCAAGGCGTCACAAGACCGGGCGAAGAACTCGGCCCGGATTAAGTCAAACGACAGGTTCAACTCCGGGGTGGCGACGAGTCTTTGCCACTCCGTCAGCCATTCCCGTGATGTTTGCTGGCCTTGGTATATGATCTTGTTCAAGGCGTGACGTTTGTCATTGTTGAGCATGAACCGGGTCTTCCACTTCTTCTCAAACTCCTCCCAGGTGATCTTGGTGTGGAAGGTGGCGATGGCGCATTCCAGCGTAACGGCCATGTGTGTCATGAAAGCCTGCGCCCCTCCGATGAGTTGGAGGTAGAGTGCGTCAAGCCGCCGTTCGAGTAGGACTTGATGGACGTCTACCTCTGCATTGAATGCCATCCACCACTGCAGCGGATCGGTCTTGTGGTAATCGTCGAGCTTCTCGATCTTGAAGCTCAGGATCTTCCATTCCTGGCGACGGCGGCCGGTCGTTGCTGAACGCGGTCGCTGAGCGTCTGCAGCTGATTGCTCCAGCAAACATGCTGATGTCGCCAAGGGAGGCTACCACGTGGTTGATCCGCTCCTCGAGTTGCTTGGCCTGCACAGCCAAAGCTGGGCTGCAGTCTGCCACTGCACTGCCTGCTGACTCAACTGCGGACAGTCGTGCCAACCCTGTGCTGACCGTGGTCTGCAGCTGGTTGTTGATGGCCTGCTGCTGGCTGTTTGCGTTCTGCAAGGCGGTGATCTGTTCCTGCGTCCGAAACGTTGTTTCATAGCGGATGAAGATCTGCCGCATGGCCAGCATTTCGCGTTGCTGCCAGTTGCATATGTATAGCAGGTTTTCCATCAATACTGCTGTAGCTTCCTTGTCGCTCTCTTCCTCGGTCGGCTCTGCTTGGTCTTCGGTTGCTTGGAAATGCTGTCGTCGAAGTAGCCTGCGGTACGTGGCTTCGTCTTTTGCGAGGTCCATTGTGGCCTGGTAATGAGCTTGATTCTGACTTGTCTCGACCTGCTGCTGCTGCAACCGCGCGGCTGCTGCAGCTTCGGCTGCGGCCTGCTGACGTGCTGCCTCTGCCTCTGCCAGCTGCGTTGGATTGCCTGCTGGCGGGCGGCTTCCTCCTCTTCCCACTCGCTCAGTTCAGCTGCAGTGGTCTCCGAGTAGAGCTGGAGACGTTTGAGAAACGCTAGTTGCGTTTCATCTGCCTGCTGAACTGGGATAGGAGGGGTAACCGGCCTCTTGGGGCTGGCTTGTGCATTCGCGTCAGCAATAGCGGCCATGGTCGTGCATCGTCTGTGCGGGATCCGAGGGGTCTTAGGTCCCTGTTGGGGGTTGGCTCCTGCGGATCCGCGCTCAGCAAGCCGTTGACTGCAGTGCATTAAGTACTCCGGTCTTCGTCTGCTGCTGACGTGCCACCGCTGAGGTGGCACCTGCTATGTGTCACTGCTGAGGTGGCCGCTGCTGAATGGCAAATCGGCTGCCGTGGCATGCTGAGGTGCCACGCTGCTGATGTGGCAGTCTGCGTTCGTGGCCTGCTGCTGATGTGGCACAATGCTGACGTGGTCGGAGACTGAAGTCCGCAGTATCGAGAGGAGGAGAGAGAGAGTAGGGGTGGAAGAAAGGGCAGAGAGGCAAACAATGCACAGACAGTCCATTTTCTTCCCTGACCTCGAAGCTTGACACTAATAAAAAAAAAAATTGCCCTCCCCAACAAAAATTTCGAATTTTGAGAAATTAAATATTTATATATTTAATTAAATAAAATTTAATCGGAAAATACGAGTTTAATTTAATAAAATTTAATTTTGGCAAAAGATTAAATATTTAATTAAAGAATACAGAAATTTGCAACAATCAATTTTGCAAAAGTTAAATATTTAATTAAAGACTATTTAAATTTGCACAAGTAAAACCAAATAAAGTTTAAGCAAGTTTAAACATTTAAACAGGAGAGTGTTGCACGAAATTTAACCGGGAGAGTTTAGCATCATTACGAGGTCATGAAGTAAGTAGAAGATCAATGGTTGTAGGAAGACACAATTTGCTGAAAAGATTCGAACTTTAATCTCAATGAAAGATGCGTTTGCAAAAAGTGAAAGTTTCGTGAAGTTGCAGTTTGAATGTGGCCGTGCTCAGGCCCGATCTGCCTTAATTGGCGTGGTGCCTGGCTGGCACTTACTTCCCAGAGGCTTGATATGTAGTTAGATTAGGATAGAACTAACCCTAATTAGCGTTAATTAGGTTAATCGTGATTAGCGATTCCCTAGTTTGCGCAGTATGGAGAAAAGTCACAAAACCTAAAATTATAATTCAAACGACCTAATTACTATGTAAGTACGAGAAAAGAAAAGAAAAAAATTTGCAACTTGGGATTTAATGATAACAGAGTACAGATGTAGATAATCAATCAATCAATCAATCAATCAATCAATCAATCAAACAATCAATGGTGAGTCATCCAATGCTGGTATGCTCCGACACCAAACTGTTGCATACTCGTGAAACACAGTCATAAGTATGGCGCAGATTCCCAGAACCGACCAGATAATACAGAGTTAATACAAATACAGCGGAAGAGTTGATACCCATGGACTGACTCAGACTGCAATCGAACACTCTCAATCATACATCAGTGGTGTGAAAGCCCTGGCCTTGGACATAGACGAAAGGCCAGGGTCTGAGATCATCCACGGACGAATGGAGGGAGGAGAGAGACAAAGGGAGGAGGAGAGGGAAGATGACGTCAACTCAATGTTTCCAATTCCAAAGACAGTATCTTGAAATGTCAGAGGTAGCGAAAATCCGAAATGTCGCGAACACAGTGTCTCACAATGTCTCAGATATCGATCTCACAATGTCAAGTACATCTCCAGAGGAAGATGAAATCAGATCCCACGAGTAGTCCTCAACCTATATAGTCCCAATGTTGCTGTCTCCAATGTCATCAGAATTCGTAACCATCGTTCATACTTGTAGTAGTTCCGTAGGAGAACCCAGGAGTAGACTTAGACTGAGAAGGTAGGAGGAGAGAGAGAGAGAGAGAGAGAGAGGGAGAGAGAGAGAGAGAGAGAGAGAGAGAGAGAGAGAGAGAGAGAGAGAGAGAGAGAGAGAGAGAGA